AAATTCTTGCACTTTTTTGACTGGTCTTAAGATTTTGATCAGGAGTGTATATTTATATAATTATTTATAAGAGCTAACCACACTGATGCAAACACAGTCTGCTGCGGCAGAGCTAGCAGTCCAGTCAAGCTACTGACACGTCAGTTAAAAACATAAAAGTCTTTAAGAACAAAATAAAACTCTATTATCCTCCAGAAACACACATAKAACAGCTGACACACTAGCTTTAACTCTGCAAACTGGACGCTTTAAAAATAGTTTTTCATTCAAGCCCAAATCGCTGCTTTTTCAGCTGACAGTGTCTACCGATCGTTAGCTTAGCCACATGCTAACAGCTGGCAGGCTGTCCGCCGCCATGTTTGAGCCGATTCAACTGTTTAACAGCTCCAACGGAACCGGACACTTACTTTTACCGAGAGCCTTCAGAGCCCGCGTGTAGTCCCCGTTCTGCCCGCAGCGGTTCACCTCGGTCCACAGCGAAGCCACGGAGACTCCTCCGCTCGCCATGTTTGCTAGCTGAATGGACCCAAGCTAGCCCGGAAGTTGAATTTCTTCACTTCCGGGTTAAAAAAATCAAACGTCGTTGTAAAAAAAATTTAAATAACAGAACTTAACCCGACAAAATTTAATTTTTACTGAAAAACTAACACTGCAGTGTTGCTTTTAAAATAATTACGTTGTGGACATTTTTCATTTAAAAGTAACGCAGTGTGACGATGCGTTCACGGACAAACTTTAAAATCGGAGCAAATTAACTCATCGCTAAGAACGGGTAAAAATAAAAACAAAACAAAAAAAGAGTTCTAGAAAATGTTTTTGTTGAACTCTGTACCCCAAATTATCATAAAACTAAATTAATTTTCTTAAACTGTCGCAGCTGGTCGGAGTCGGTTAGCAATGTTTGTGCGTGAACGACATTAAATCCGATTTTTATTGGTGTTACGTGAACGCAGCATGGTCGGGACTCTTCATCCGAGGAGGAGGAAAGAGGAGGTGGTACTGTTGTCATCCATCAGGGTAGTGTGTCGGGCTTTTGTCCAGGAGAAATGGCCGGGATTAAAGGTACAACTTCGGTTAGAAAGCTTCTGAATTTCGATTCGGTTTATTTGACCGGATTAAAACGCGCACGAGGGCTTTTAGAAACGCGCCTAGCTGAAAATGTTAGCATTACGCGGCGGAGCTAGCTTAAATAACCAGCATTGTTTTCACAGACAGGGGCATTAAAGCAGTCTGGTCTGGTTCTCCTCTCAGTTGTGTCGTAATTAACGTGTAATAATGCAGTTATCAACTAAGCTAGCGTTAGCTCCTGTTGCTAATTTGAGCTGCTCGGATTATCTTGTGGGTTAACCAGCAGCTCCGTGTTTAACCACGTGATTCCAGCTGGTTCATCACATGAGGAGGCTCAGATGTCAGGAGGCTCCATCAGAAGGTTGTTGGTGATGATGTGACCCCCTCCCCCCTCTTTCCCTCCCTGTTCTCCAGCTCTCATCAGCCTTTCCTTTGGAGGAGCCATCGGCCTCATGTTCCTCATGCTGGGATGTGCCCTTCCTGTTTATGAGTGAGTACAACCATCACACACCTGTGGGTCAGGGCGGGTCCTCCTCACCTGGTCAGGAGGGGCCGGCGTCTCCAGTCCATCACAGGGACACACAGAGACCAGCAATCCTCTCAATTTAGGACAAATACACACCTAACATGCTTTTAATTTGTAGGAGAAAACCCACAGGTGCACAGAGAGAATACGTAAACCAGGGTTCGACAAGATTTTATTTGATTTTTTTTTAACCTGCCCGAAACAAAAATGTTCAAAATTTGATAAAAGATAAGAAAAACGTGTTGCGTATTTGTACTACAAAAATATTAACATAGTTATACACAGAGGTACATAATATGTGACATCTGATTAAACAGATGTAAACATTTCAGACTGAGTCACTAAATCAGTCAATTGTTTTATCAAAAAACATCTTCAAAAACTTTTTTTAGACCTTTCCAATGTTTCCTGTATTGGTCTTGGGAGAGCTGCTCATAAAAACAATGATCAACAGCAGCAGCTTTGTTTTAAATATAATTTATAGAGCATGAAAGTCTGAAATAATTAAATCTTATATAAAAAGGTAATTGTTTTATGAAGACATTAAGAAA